TAAAGTGGACTCAGTTTGCACTATTTCTGGCAGTCTGCAAAGGCCAGAAGACCCATAACACACATACACCCAAGCAAGAGAAAGGGCCAGCTTGGGGTAGTTGGTTGAAGGCTGGACTATGACTCTGGAGACCGGGGTTCAAATTCCAGCCTGGGCATGAAACCTACTGGGTGACCTTGGGCAAGTCACACTCTCTCAGCCTCAGGGGAAGGCAATGGCAAAATCCCCTCAGAACAAATCTAGCCAAGAAAATTCCATGATACAGTCACCTTAGCATGATAGGGTCGCCTAGGCCTTAGGGTCACCATAAGTTCTGACTTGAAGGCACACAAGTCATCATGGCTTAAACGTTAGGCTACAAATTTGGAGACCAGGGTTCCAATCCCAGCTCGGCCATGAAAGCCACGTGGGTGATCTTGGGCAAATCACTCTCTCTCAGCCTCAGGGGATGGCAATGGCAAACCCCTTCCTGAAGAAACCTGCCAAGAAAACCCCATCACCATAAGTAAAAAATGACTTGAAAGCACACAACAAGCAAGAGAAAACAGTTTCAAAAAGAATACTTATGCCTGCACTCTTAGGGACAAAGTTTTCAGATACACCCCTACCCCTTTAAGGCTAGTGGCCAGAACGGGAATGTTAAGAAAATGTAGGAAATGCTGCTAAAGTCAGGACATTCCTGTCCATAAAATGGCTGCCTAGCAGTTGTGGATTGTCTACCTTCATACATTTCACTGATAAAAAGTGGGGCATAAATGTGGCCAAGCAACATCAGGGTGTGGTCAAGATGGCAACAGTTAACTCATTTTAATAAGGAAGAACAGACAAACCAGGGAATGCTGCAGATGTTTGATTTTGCCTGAGCCTACAGGGAAAGGCAAGATTCTGCCCCTTGCTCACCAAACTACAGATCCCAGGATTCTGTAGAATAGAGTCATAGCTATTCAGGTGATGTGAAACTGCTTTAATTCTGTGGTGTGAATACACCCTAAGATGGTGAGTAACTGCTAATTAGGTGCATTGCTTTGTAGTCACCCAAGGCAAATGAGTAATTAAATAGGTGCTAAGAGAACACAGTGATGCACATTGGCACTGCGCCACCAGCCCTATAGTTGCACAAATCTTGGTTGCTTTGACATGTAATTATGATTATATCTCTTCATATAATGTCTCTCCCAAACTACAGTTGGCAAAGCTGTAGTTATCTGGCACTGTGTATGTTGTTAACTTCCTATGTGTTATTTTTTTTCCCCATTTGGCTGTGTGAAAGTCTTTCTGTTCTTTAAACTGCACATGGTCTTATGCAACTGGGAACCAAATGTCCCACCATAGCTTCTGTGAGGCTATGATCCCCCATGTAGCTCCCTGCTTTCCTTAGTCAGATTCTGTTGCAAGTGCACAGGGCTAATTCAGAGTCTGATGACAGCAGGGGAAATGCTTGTGAAATAACTGTTGTGAGTCTACTTCCTCCTACCCATTTTACAGATGTTAATGTCAGTTTTTACTTGTCTTCCTTGGTTGCAGCTTTAGACATTTTCATTAAGAGCTGAGTTTTAGGCCCCTTTGCAGGCATATAAATTCAATGTGTGCACCTTTCTCCCAAGTAAATGTGCACAAGTTCAAAGTAATGGAGGTGTATCTATGGTCATTTTCTACACATATGGTTGGAACGACGTTTTCTTGGCCATTGTGCATCACTCCTAAGAAAATGTAAGCAGAGAGATCTTGTAGCACCTTTGAGAGTAACTAAAGAAAGAAGTTGGCAGCATGAGCTTTCGTAGACTTCAGTTTTCTTCCTCAGATGTATTTGGTCCAAATGCATCTGAGGAAGTAGACTTAAGTCTATGAAAGCTGGAGTCCCACTCCAGAAGTCCTGGGGAACACTACTGCATGACCGTGGTGTTGTCAGTTAGTACCTGTACTATCATGCCCTGCAGGAACATTTCATAGAAGTGGAGCACCTTCTCGAAAGCTAACAATTCCACGGTATTGATATGTAGGGACTTCTCTTGCCCTGACTAAAATCCTTGTATGAAGAACTTGTCGAGGTGAACTTGTCAACCTGTCATTGACCTGTCTACAGTGATGTGGGCTTGTGGTTTCAGGGGAGAAAAGGCCATGCCATTCTGGATGTTGATAGCCACCAGACACCTTCGGAGAGATTGCTGCCTGGATGGCCCTCAGGATGGTTAGCCACTTCATTGGAGAGTCCTTGAAACAGATCAAAGTGAGATGAACCAGGCCTGGCATAGTGTGTCACTGATGTGGTAGATGCCATGTATCCCAGAATCACCTGTACGTTCTGAACCTTAGGGGGTTGCAGACTGCCAGAAATAGTGCAAATTGAGTCCACTTTTAGGGTTAGGGTTAGGGTTAGGGAATCATGGGAACTGTATTTTATTTGTGGCACCAGAGCTCTCTGACAGAGAAGGTTCAGTGTCTCAGGAAAAAAAAACAATTTCTATGATTCCCTAGCACTAACCCTAAAACTAAAAGTGGACTCAATTTGCACTATTTCTGGCAGTCTGCAACCCCCCTTAGTCTTCTGTATCAGCTAATCAGTATCTAGGGAGCTGCAATTCAACAATATCTGGACAGCCACAGATTTCCTACTTTGTTTTAAAGCAGCTCTTCAAGATCACTTAACAAAGACATCTGACGTATGAAACCTAGCGTAGTTTATCCAGTTCAGTCAGGTGGATAAGATGGTTACAAAACCAACATTTCCAAGAACATTTGCAGTGCAAGTGCCTCTCAGGTGCTTGAACAATAATCAAAGGTGGAGCTGCTTCACATGAAAAAGGAGTACCGGTCGTTGTTAAAATCATAGCAGAATAATAGAATCTTTCTTTCTCAGAGTTTTTAGTCAAGGGAGCACTGTAACTACGTTTATCTGAGCATAGTTACAAAATACAAATCTTCAAGTGGAACATCCCCAAAATACACACCTGATCGTTTTTAGGGGATGTATAATCCCCTTCAAAACATGGTAAACAATATTCAGCCAAATAGAGAAACCCGCCTGTATTTCAGTTTTGCCTGTACTGAGTCTCAGTTTATTG